CTATTCTATTCTATTCTATTCTATTCTACTCTACTCTACTCTAATCTCTATTCTGTTCTATTCTATTCTATTCTATTCTATTCTATTCTATTCTACTCTACTCTACTCTACTCTACTCTACTCTACTCTACTCTACTCTACTCTACTCTACTCTACTCTATTCTATTCCATTCCATTCCATTCCATTCCACTCTATTCATTAGACTAGGCATACCCAGTTCCTTCCATCATTCAGCATGTGGCTAAACCCCTAATCATCTTTGTTGCTCTTCTCTGTGCTCTTTCTAGGGTTCATTTTGTGGAAACGTTTCTATTTATCGAAGATGGACTGCACAATATTTCAAGACGCAACGGCAAAGTCACCTAAAAACAACACAAGAGGAACACTAGGAACAAAGCAGAGCCCCTTGCTTTGCTGCGAGAGTATTTCTAGGTTTAATTGAAACAAGATTCAGAAGGTGTTTTTTTTTAACCTTTTGGTATCTGTAAGGTCAAGATTTTATGATCGAGTTCAGCCAGGTGGAGATGTAATCTTTGATAGACTAAGGACCATACATGTGGTAGAGACGTTTTGTCACCAGAAGGAAGTTCTGAGATTAGAGAAAGACAGATAATCGGTAGCCATACAGTTTGGGGCTTTCTATTGAGGGGTGGGCTTCAAAAATTTTAGCAATGGGTTCTCTTGCCTGGTTGCTGGGTGGGTGTGGTCTAGTCGGCCTCCTGCACCATGGCCCCTGCGAACCCCCAGCAGCCCAGCCCTGTTTCTATTCATATTAGGAAGATCATGCAGTAAAATATATCTGTCAGTTCAAGACGGTTTCAGAAATCTGTATCTTTAACTGAAAATCTGAATGGTTGGTCGACAAGGGCAGCCAGCCAAAAACTGAAATTGCCTTGAGCCAAAGGAACTTTGATTGCATTATTAATATGGACACAATAAAAACCAGCAGGGATTCTTTAATAGCTGGAGCTACATATATTATCTCTATGGTTTACCTCAATACTTTTCAGAGATATTTCCAAGAAGCTCTAATTACATCCCATTTCAGGTTGGGCTCTCAACTGGAATACAAATAACCCAGCTATTTTATAACGTAACTCTTTAATTCACCTCAGGTATTCCTTACTCCTGAACTGAAGCTCAAATGTTTCTCCGGATCATCTTTGCATCTATATAAAACCAACAGCATCAACACATTTCCCAAAAAATGGGAACCCGGTATGCTGTCAGGAAAGTTCTGGCTGTTTGCATATCAAGTGAAGAAGAAAAGGCAACACCAATAAGTAAACTTTGACCAGAATGATGGGACAAGAATTAATAAACCATTTTGATCCAACAAGGTCATAATTGACCTTGGGGGTGCAGAGCTGGAGGTTAGAGACTCAACTCCACACTATAAAAAAGATGTTGAGACTCTAGAAAGAGTGCAGAGAAGAGCAATCAGGATGATTAGGGGACTGGAGAATGAAACATACAATGAATGGTTGCAGGAACTGGGCCTGGCTAGTCTAGGGAAGAGAAGGACCAGGGGAGACAGGATAGTGGTCTTCCAATATTTGAGGGGCTGCCACAGAGAGGAGGAGGGGGTCAAGCTATTTTCCAAGGCACTCAAAGGCCATACAAGGAATAATGGATGGAACCTGATCCAGGAGAGATTCAACCTGGAAATAAGGAGGAATTTTCTGACAGTGAGGACAATCAACCCATGAAACAGAAGTTGCCTTTGGAAGTTGTGGGAGCTTCATCACTGGAGGCTTTCAAGAAGAGACTGGACTGGCAGTCAGAATTGTCTGTCTGTCAGAAATGGTGTAGGGTCTCCTGCTTGGGTGGGTGGGGGGTTGGACTAGATGACCTACAAGGTCCCTTCACCATCATCTTCCTTTAACGACCCCATAATCTCTTGCAGAGTGGAGTCTGGGCAATTGAATGGAGCTAGTAGTGTGTTTATTGGCCAGGTGCCCTTCCTGTTGCCAATGTGGAGTTTTATTCAGCAGATAGATTGTGCCCAGAGAGAGAAATAGCCGCCTCTACCTAGGATCGAACCCACAGCCTCCCGATTGTGAGGCGAGAGCTCCACTTTTCTTGGCCACCGCACCACTCTACCTACAAGATCCCTTCCATCTCTATTAACCTGTTAAACTCATCAAAAGCCAAGGATAAAATATCTCCCCGAGCTGATGATCCTAGCACTTACTTTAACCACATCCTCGGCAGAAGACTTGCATTCCACCGATTCAGAGATATCCATCACCATATTGTTTTCCTCAACGGAAATCACCTTGATGGGGACAGCAACCGTCTTCCCAGTGAGGATGGCTGTGTTCAAGATATCCGTGTCCTGGAACATGATGGAAACAAACGCAGGTTAAAAAAACAGTAACTGTGAGAGGGACCTTGGAGGACGATCATTTGCACACGAGCCATCAGCGTGCGGCGGCAGCCAACAAAGCGAATACAATCCCTCGTTGTATAAATAGAGCCATAGAGTCAAAATCAGGTGAAGTATTAGTACCGCTTTATAAAGCCTTAGTTAAGGCCACACCTGGAATCCTGCATCCAGTTTTGGTTACTGTCAGGGTATATTCATGAACTGGAATAGAGCTTGATAACAAGGTCAGCCAATGAATAAGCATAGCAACTAAGTCAGCCAATGAGAACTGTTTGGAAACTGAAACTAGAAGTAGCCTAGGCATGGCACTATAAGCTCTGCAGCTCTGCAGCTAAGTTAAGCTTTGAGTCGGTCTATTGAAAATGAAACTGCTTCTCTCCTCTGCTTGCCTGCTGAAGTAAAGTGAAACTGGTGTCTGTTTCTGAGCTGTTGAAGTTACTGCTGAAGCTCTCTGCACTTGCAACATGTTTCTGTCTGACTTTGCTCCATGTTGGAGAAATCTACAACTGGTTTGTAAAATCTACTTATTCTGTTAATAAAGATGTTAAATGAAGCATCAGCCATCTGTGTTTATTTTTCTGGTGCTGAATTAACGCTGCAAAAAAATAGTCACCACATTACCAAAATAAATAAATAAATAAAATGTTGAGAGTTTGGAAAAAGTGCAAAGAAGAGCAACTAAGATGATTAAAGGCCTGGAGACTAAAATAGATGAAGAAGAATGGTTGCAAGGTTTGGGTTTGACTAGTCTAGAGAAAAGAAGGACTAGGTGAGACACTGTGATCCAGTATTTGAGAGGCTCCCACAAAGAGGAGGAGGTCAATTTATTTTCTCAAGCATCACAGGGCCGACTTTTAGCTATACAATTTGGGATGAATCCCCTTTGAATGGTGTGGGAGTAGGAATGGAGTTCCAGAGGAAAA